GACTAGAGACCTCACAGAATTGAGAATGCTTCATTTCTCTTGCGTTTCCTCCTCAAGTCACCCTGATTTCATGAACTAATTCTTGACTAACACACTCAATTGCACCTTTCATGCAGCCAAGCAAGACCCTTCAATTAACAGTCCAAAATGTAATCAACAAGCAACGGTAACGACACTACAATACCAACAAGACCAAATCAACTCTTCCAAAATTTTCTCTGCAGACTCAGTTTGAAGGCAAACAACAATCCAACTTGTCTCAAGCCAAACTGAAAAGAATCAAACTTTGAGTATGAACTTTCCTATTCGATTTGCCTCCATAAAACACAAATCAAGTCTCTCCAATCAAAAAGTTAAAACTGGCATGCATAAAGGAAGGAACACAATCGCTAGCTAGGTCAGATTTGACACTAAATCAGTCAATATATAGCTAATTATCAAGCTAAACACAAAGAAGATAGTACAAGGACATCAACCTGGTCAAAGGACATGACCAATTAAACTCATAAACCTAAAACGAGCATGGAATTTCAATCCCCCTACCGAAATGTGTAAATCTAGAACATCCCAACAACGAATGCAACAAATTCGGTCGATACAAATACCCCCTAGAAGAATGAAGAACAACAGACTTCCTCCACCACCATTACCACCAAAGCTTCCCCACAAAAAGGAGAATCATTAACCACAAAAACAATGAATGCTGTGAATTCGTCCGATTCGAATCCTCCCACGAAGAAGATGGAAGAACTACAACAACAACATCCATCCAAAACTTCCTCACCAAAGGAAGCATCATCAACAACCGCAACCACAACAACAACAACCACAACTGCTGTGAATTCTTCAGACTCGAATTCTTCTACCCTAACAACAGAAGAACCCAATGCTCCTCCTCAACAGAAGAAGATTGAGGAACAACAACAACAACAACAACAACAACAACCTGCTAAGGATGTTGCTGAAACGGAGACAAATCAAGCACAACCTCAACAGCAAAAACAAGGCGAAGAGAAGGTAAATGCTGCAAATTCTCCTTCAAAACAAGTGAAGGAACAACAGGAACCGCCATTGCAGCTAATTATCAAGCTAAACACAAAGAAGATAGTACTAACCGAAAAAAGTTGCGGTGGAGGAGGTAGGTCAGCGGTCTTCGTTTGCTCTCGATGGGAAGAGGGGGTTCTGTGCAGGGTCTTCGTTTGCTATCGATGGGAAGAGGGTCTTCGTTTGCAATCGACGAAGAGATGCTCGCTCTCGTCGTCCCTTGCTCACCGCCTTCACTGTCGTCGTCGGAATCCGGCTCGCCGCCTTCACTGTCGTCGTCGGAATTCGGAATCCGAATCGCTGCAATCGACAAGCTTCTTCTACTCGTCGTCACCCACTGCTCGCCGTCTTCACTGTCGCCGTCTTCACTGCTCGCTAGCTGCGTAGAGAGGATCGAAGGAAGGAAGTGGATCGAAGGAAGAAGGGTTTCGGCGGTGAGAAGAATGGTTTCGAAGGAAGATAGTGTTTGTCTTAATTGGTTTCAGACAACCGGTTGTACCGGTTATCACACACAAATAAAATAAAAATTAATAATTTAAATAAAATCTAATGGTTGATATAGTTTGAACATGATCTAATGGCTGTAAATGTTTTATAGTACCAATACTATAAAGCACACTAAAATGCCTCCTAACTTTATCGGTATAACTTCCGGTACGGTCTTACAATCATTGATTCATAGATGCTCCCACTGCCGGTTCAGGGATTACTCGATCCTGGTTCAGGCGGAGAAAGAAGCTCCTTCAGGGATGCTCCCGTTGTTGGATGCGTCTTCGTCGACGACAATAATGAATTAGGAGAGGGTGTGGGTTTTCTTTGACGGTGGAAGACTCCAATGTGGGAGGGATGGTAGTAGAGTTTCATTATTAGTCAGGGGTAGTTGGGTCATTTCTGACCACATTTTACGGTGAGAAAACAGAATTTTCGTTGAATGAGTATTTCCATTACATTGTAATAATAGAATTGTAAAATAGTACAGGGGTACGGGTACTTCTGTTAATTGATAATAGTAGAGGGACATAAAATGCTATTATCCCTTTAAGAAATATATTAGGTTGGAGAACACAAAAATTTTGGAGTTTTAAAACTTTAATAACATCCATGTGTATGAGTTATGTATTTTATTTTAAATTTATAATTTAGTGTGTTATTATGAGCTGCTCGTCACACCAGTTCAATTCTGATAACATTGTTCAATACTTTTTGATTAATTGTAGATACTACAAAATAAGAAACAGAAAGAGATCCCTATTTGTTGACCCGCTCCTTAAGAAAGCAGAATATCTTGTCGTAATAGCTAGTCAAACCCAAGATAAAAACAAGAAAATCACCACAGGAGAATAGAACGACCAAATTGAAGTCACAAAAAAAAAAAAAAAATGCATGCGAGTGCTAGTTTCTTTTATACAAAACGAGTTCTACTGCTTGTTCTTGTTCTTGGCATGTCTTTCACAGAAGGCTTTAATCCTCCCAAGCGCAACTTCTAGCGTTGCAGGCTCGATAGCAAACGTTATCCGAAGCCAACCCTTCTGTCCCACAGTTGTGCCTGCAGCCCCATCAAGCACAGCAATCAATCCACAATTTCCATCCCAATTTAATTTCATGGATGCAGAAGATAATAAGTGGTTGTGTTCATCAAAGTTACCTGGTAGAATTATGACAGATTCCTCCTTTGCTAGTTTGAGACAGAAATCCATATCATCCTTAATCCCCTCCAGTTCTGAGCACTCCAGTTTCACCTATAATGATACAACATTTGTCCAATTACTCCTAATAAGCAGCTGGATGCACCACAAACAGTTTATACTTTATAGTGTGAGTTGCAGGCAGCACTACTCACCATGGCAAACATGGAACCTTCCGGTTTCTTGGGACAAGTGATACAAGGAATGCCCTCAAGCCTCTCGTAGCATAGATCTACAGCCTCTCTTAACAAACCATTGATTCTCGCAAAGAAGCTCTCTTTAGTGTTGGCCAATATCTGAGGAACTGCAGCCTGCAATCAGAATAAGGAACGAGTTTTCATCTCAAATAACTCGAGAATTTGAAAGTTTATTGAAGTATATTTGAGTGTATCATCAGTCATCACTAACCTGAATGAAGGTTGGAGGATCAGGAGAGGTGTTGAGAGAGCCTCGAATCAAATCAACAAACTGGACAAAAAAAACACACACAGAGAACCCATTTGTCAATTAATCAAAGGCTCCCCTGAAATTTTCAATGGTGGAAAAATGAGTGACAAGATAAAAAGAGGCAAACCCCTGAATTTCTGAGGACGTTATTGGGATCGCTAATCACCAGCCACCCGAGCCTCCACCCAGGAACAATCCACCTCTTCGAAATCGACCCGAGCGTGATAACCGGCGCAATCGACCCGAAAACCCCCATCGCCACAAACGGGTTGGACCCGAACGCGAGGTGCCCATAGACCTCGTCGGCGATGACCAGAATCCCTAGCTTTCTCGCCGTCTCTGCGATCTTCTTGAGGTGCTCGTAGCTGTAGACGTTCCCACAGGGGTTCCCCGGGTTGACGATGACGATGGCGGCGGTGTTGTGGTCGGTTAGGGACTCGACGGCTTCCAGATCGACCTCCCAGCCGTGGTCGGAGAGGAGGCCGTAGTGGCGGACCTCGAGGTTTCGGTTGGCGGCGCAGGCGTCGTAGTAAGGGTAGCCGGGTCGGGGCAGGAGGATGTTGGATCCGGGTCGGGCGAGGGTGGTGAGGGTGACTTCGATGGCGTGGGCGCAGCCGAGGGTTATGAACACGTCTTCAGGGGAGAGCTCGTAGGGGAGGCCATTGTTGAGGTATCCTGCGATTGCCCTGTCATTGGCAAATGGAAACGTTACATCTCAATGAAACATCTATTGAAGTAAAAGGGCTGAAAAGTGATGCGGTCTGGTTTCGATCGGATCATATCTACGGTTTAAGATACAATTTGAGGAGTCGAAGTATAAATAAGGGGATCACACCAAAAATCAAACTAATAATCCAGAAAAATTTTGCTCTTTTAAAAAAAAAATTATATAAATTACAAGAAACGTGCAATACCATAAATCCAAGAGCGCAGCTGTTAAAGTAAACTATGAAAATGTTGGATGAAATCTAAAGAAATTAAATGTTGATTGGTTTGTATGGTGAAAGAAAGCCCAATACAGGTATATGAACTGTACAGTAAGAAAATCGCAGAGCCCAGCCAGGCCCACCTCCGATTACCAAGTTTCACCGTCGGCAGTCAAAAATAAAAGTGTCACGTGAAAGCTGTGAGCGGAGGACCAGCAAAAATCGGGGCCTAAATTGGGGGATACGGACTTTGTCTTCTTCCACCCCTAACGTGTTCCTTAAATTATTACGCTCGCCCTTTCCTCGACTCTTCTCCTCTATTAATATCTCTAATTTCCATTTTTCATTTATTTTACTTAATATATTTATTAGCAAATTCTTTAATCCCAAATTCAAAAAATATTTTGTATTTGACCAATGAGCAACCCACTTGTGTACTTGATCTACGAGGACACGTCACTGTAGAATATATAACGATGGAATCTCATCTTGACCAAAAATGTTGATGATATAATATGTATGTATATATCATTATTACGACATTATTTCTATGGAAAAGGACAAGTCTCAGCTATCTGCTACTACTCTTCCAATTCTGTAGGTTGTTTGTCATGCTAACAATTAATTAATATTTAAAAGGTTTCTTTGTTCAAATTAATGTTTTCCAGCATAGTGATTTTATTAATTTTGTGAAAGGGATGGTTGGTGACAGAATAGTACAATTTTAAGCCGTCTTCCACGAGGGTTGATGAAATATATTCACTCCCAGAGATTCCCTTTCCAAAATGAAAACTAAAACAATCGCTTCATTCGAGATATGGAATATGCTCTATATTTTCAACTCTTTATTGTGAATAATAAATATATATGTACGTTTCCAGCAAGGGGAAAAAAATAAATTGATTGCTTAAATCAGAATGGTTGTACGAAGAAAGAAGGGAAAGAAAGAAAGAAGATATCACTCTTCCTTTTTAATATAAAGGAAAGCGCGTTACGTTTTATGATTCGATTTAGGGGGGAAACACAATTTACTGTTTGATTTCTAACCTTAAATATGAGCACGCGAAATTGCCATAATTAATTTTCATACAAATAAAGACTATTTCTTGACGTTTAGGGTAAAAGTTTAAACCCATAACTGACCTTGTACATAAATGACTCCAAATTATCTTCTAATAACAGTTGATTTTTCAAAAAAGGAATGGATGACAGATGACTGCAAATCTCCACAAAAAATGAGTTCGGATGTCAACACTTTTTTTCCTTTTCATGCGAGCTCGGACAAATTCAAACGATAGCAATGGAAAATAACTAACAATCGCTTTCGCAACGCTCTCAATGCACCCTAATCGCAGTTCCTACGTTTCGTGTACCAACTTAATCTAGAAAGAAGCTTCTAACAACTTAAAAAAATCCGAAATTTGAAACCAACAACCAACCAACGAATAGAAAGCACATAAATTTTGTGACTAATGTTAGACAAACAAAAAAAAAGGAGTTGAAAGATGGATAGGCAGACTGACCTTCTAGCCGGAAGAATGCCGGCGGAAGGACCATACGAGTTGAACTTGCCGGACCGGACCGCATCGACAATGGCGTCTTCCGCCGCCGAGTCGGTACGGAAACAAGGGAACGACGAAGGGTCGCCGTGGCCCAGCTCTATCAGCGGCCTCTGGTCTTCCTTGTTCAGATTGTCCATCAGAGCGAACCGGACCTCCCGGATTGTGGCTACCGCCGCCTTTGACCGCGCTTTGCCGTTGCCGTTTGCAGCGCCGTTCGCCGCCGCCTGAAAATGCCAGACTTTCTTCGTTCCGTTTTCCATGGCGGCCGCCTCTTCTCTGAATAAATCTTCCCTTCTCTGTCTTGCTCTGTTTCCGCTGCGGATTTGTGGGGGGCTTTTTCCTGTGCCTGTAACCTGCTGTTATATAGAGGCAGAGCTGCAGGGTTTTCGCTCACGGAACGACAACGTACGAGCAGTTCCATATCCTGTGGTCGGCCTCATTAAAATAATAAATAAAATGCTTAATTACAATTACAAGTAGGTAGGAGCGGTCTCAATGGTGTGTAATAATCCGGTCCCATCAGTTTGGTCTGGACCGGATCGAACCGTTATATACCCCTAGCGGTTATATTTCGAGTGGATCAGACCAAAACTAAATAGATAATGAGGACCGGTTATCCATCTTGCGGTTTAACTCAATTTTAATTAGATTCGTCTACTTTTCTCTGTGATGGCTTGTTCAAATTGAAATGACAACAATATTGGTCAACTTTGTCCGTTCAATCCGACTTAATTAGTTAAATTCTTGTGTGCAGAGGTGGGAATTCTCGAATTTTTATTAATAAAAAAATAGTAGATAAAATTTTCTTACTGAGAAAAAACCTCTAAACTAAAGGTTGTGACACCCTTAAATGTATAATAATTTGATTAATCAAAAATAAAAATTGGATTGATGTGGCTTTGAAGACAACTAAACCTCCCGGCCCTCTCTTTTCTCTATATAGTTTCCTTGCGGCATCTCTCAAATTGATCCAAGTAAATAAAATTATAATATTTAGTTTAGACATGGTTTTTGGTTAATGAATTTGATTTGTGGTCTATTCGAGAATTGAAGATCTATTCAAATAGAAAGAACTGTAATCATTTGGGAAAAGAATATACTGATTAACTGATGTGAGACTAACCAAGCATGAAAGCATACTCTCACACTTGATTTCGTGGTATATAAGGTTCGTAACACGGTTAATGATTCTGTTAATTAACCCCTTTACTAAAAACTCAAAACATTAACTTTGGTATAAATGAATTCCATAAGTTTTGAGGAATTCATTTTGAAATGAAATATTTTTTGTGTTTGGTATGAAAAAGAATTCATTTTCAAATCTAAATTTTGAATTCTACGGAATTGGAACTAGTCGTAGCAATTCCGAGGAATTGATATAGAATTTCCAAATGAATTACACAAGTATTTACTAATTATAATAGAATGACATGATTATCCTCTTTTATTAACTAACTTATTTATACATATGACATACCAAACACATAAATTCATTTGACAATGAATTCTACATGACACTTCAATTATTTGAATATAACATGCCAGACATAGGATTTCATTTGACAATGAATTCTACACGATAATTCATTTTACAATGAAATGAATTCTCAATTCATTTGATATCAAACGGTTTGTAAGACAAACTTTTCCCGGCTATACTCAAAACCAAACTGTTAAGGTGCATGATTTACGGTAAATCATTAAGGATCCATAGGTTGGTTTCAGGTTTCAACCAACATAGAAATTTTTTGGCACATGACTGGTTCGATTTCTGGTTAACCAAAAAAACCCAAACCAGCCCTAATGTTACAGCCGTAGTCAAGTGGGATTTTTATATAATAATAATAACTATTGAGAGATAGAAATAAAAGGCCGACAGAAACATATATCAGACTTGGAGGGCAAGAACACACATGTGGAAGATTGAAGTGTCTGGTCCAAACTCCTTACCAAACTTTTCAAACTACACAGCGCCCTGCGCCAGCCCGGTTTTGGTTACTACTTACCAACTTCCCTTCCTAATTAAATATGCTTGCAGCGTTCGTTCTTCGTTTGGACTGGCTGATGGGGGTGGATAGAATTTTGAAAATGGAATCTGTCGACCATGAGTTTTCATAAAGTTGAACAAAACAATTGGGGTTTTATAATTCACTAACCCTTCATTGCAAATAAAATGAAATGAAAATTGGGATAATAAGATAGGAGATACTTTTGGTATAAAAAAAATATATCGGTGGAACAATAGATGACTTGTTTTTCTTCATTGAATAATAATAGATGACTGGTTTAATGAGAAGATAAAGAGTGATTACTGGTAGAGGATTGACTAAATGGGCAAGATTGGCGGTTGAAGGTATAATCAAGCTTGTCAATCCGATTTCGATTCGTTGGATCGGTCGAGAAAGTAAGGTAAACATTAATGGTCAAATGGATTTAGGTTAGTAGCGTAGAAAAAAAAATTAAAACAATTATTATATTGTGCATATATAAAGCGCTGTTGTAAGACACCGAGTCTTGCTCGAACTAAGTTTGACCGACTGTTCAGGTCGCACGTTGACAATCATAGGTATAATAAAGGGCTTAAATTTACTCTTTTGATTCTGAGTATAGATTTGATGGTCTTTCAATCTCTTATACATTTTAATCGGCTAGTACATTCTTTGTTTAATTTTATGTATCTTCCTGGTATAATGTGGTAAAAAAAAATTTGATTAATCTTTTGTATCAAAAACTTAAAGTGAATATCATTCTGTAGTGCATAACAAATCTGATTTTTCTTTGCACAAAAAAAAAATTTGTTACAATAAATAAAACATAGTCCATTAATTTTAATGCAGGGTTGCGTAACTTATGGATACTGACTAGTTTTGTTTTTATAACTGGTTATGAAATCATGATAATATCTACTTCGATTATGTATATGTAGTTTACGCGATACAACCAATCAGTGGAATATGGCATCACAAAGGAAATCAGATAATGTGACAACTCTTAACCTTATGGCAGTTTGTCCTCCTTTCTTATCTAGCGGTGGTGATCACACCAAGATGGAAAGGACAGGAAGCGAAACTGACAACCCCCTTAGGGGTTGTCACGCTATCCAATCCACGGCCATCACAAACATATAAAACCTAGGAAGGTCATCAGGGTGGCCTAAACGCCTCTAAGGTGGGTCCAGACTACCCAAACCCTAGAAGAAAGCCCATAACCCATTTATAATGATCACAAGTTCTGTTTCAAGTCCAAAATGATGTGTGGCAATACAAGACTCTAGAAACTGAGTTTTCTCTATAAAAAACTAACCCTAGGACAAGAAAACCTTATCACAAAACCTATGAATACATCTCTTAGCACTCCGAATGAGAAATCTGTATACCTACCGATTAGAGGTTCACTTCACTCTCAACACTCATTCGTAAGCTTTGAAAGAAGAATGGGCGGTTCTCGACATTTTATAGAGGCCTCCCAAACGAGAAGATAGATCCTCGCTTATTGCTTTTCTAATAATTATGTATATTTCTTTTATCACGAGTGGCTAAAACACTTTTATTGTTTTTAAGTTTCCGGTGCTATTTTCATTATTTGAATGCATAACTATCGAGTTTTTTTCCTTCTCTTTCGTTATTCATGTGTTGTTTATATTCGCCATTAAACCAATGAAGAAATATATGTGTAATTTCTATATAGTAATCCAAAGCAAACCATGATCAATTAGGATTCATTTTTCTTTCTTTATCAAACATACCAAATGACTCACACAAATCACTAGTATATTATTTAAACATTGACTACAACCTTTTAACTTCCTCAGCACACCAGATTTGTGATTTACCAACTATGTGTGGATTCCATGTCGTGCAAGTATGAATTTTCCCAGAAAGCTATGCCATTGGTGCTTGTATTCATGCTTATCAAATTTGGCACTGGGGCTGCGGATATTGTCTTTTACAAGAGAAGATTTAAACGGACTTTAAGTGCACATTTTGCAAGTTACGTAGAAGATATCGATTCAAGTTTCATAGTTTTTGAGGTCCCATAATTAAACAACCAAAGGGGCTGAACCTGTAGAATATTGCTTCCCTTTTCCTTTAGAAAAGTATTAGCGGCTGCTGGCTACTGAGTGCAGAAACAAAATAAAGGCACACAATGAAATTTCTAGGTTTCCTCTATTTGCCTTTTTTAGTGAATTACCAGGAAGGTTCTTAATAATTATGGAAGAAAAACATTTTTGAGCACACGTTAGCAAGCTAATTAAGTCAACTCCTTTGTGTGTATTTAATGCGAGCATATGGGTTGATTGCACAAAGTGGAAACACACCTTTTAAATGTGTAAACAGACAAGAACATAATAAAAATACACGTCGGTCTGTATAACCAATTCTGTTTATGGTGCTTGTGGCTTTCCCTCGACCATAACTGGTGTAGACCACAAGGATATTAGGGAAGAAAAAAAATTAATTTGTAAGAACTATTCCCTCATTTTCATTTTTTGATTTTTGATTAACAAACCTTTTTCAAAAAGAAAAAAAATAAAGGTGTGAATGAACTCCCATTAGCTCATATTCTCAATATAATAAGATTAACATTGACATGATTTGAATTCTCTTTTTGTTAATGATTTTGGGGTTTATTATATTTACTTATATTAGTGATGACAATTTCTGATCTGACACGCGTGTCCCGATTTGTTTGGGACGAGTATTAGCCAATTTCTGACTTGAAATCTATTATTTTTTAGGTCATGTTCGAGTTTCTTCTCCCGAATCGCCAATTGATCTTCAATTGACTTGAAATTTGCGTCTATGCTTCACTTTACGTGCTAGGACCTGAAATATGACAAAGGAATGAGAGTGCAAACATGTGCAAATATGATTCTATCAGCAACATACAATAATTGATGGATTTTTGTTGGAAAGTAAGCTATTGGGATAAAAAGATAATTAAACCTAAAGTTTGACCTAGAAAAAGCCATTAAAGCCTGAAAATCAAAATCACAAAAAACTAGCATGTACCTGGTAGGTAGCATAGAAAAATTGAGAGAAAAGACCAAAACAAAAACTTAGATAAAGATACTTCTTATGAATTGGTCAAAATGGACTCAGAATCTAATTGACATTTCGTCGAAGCAGTTGCGGGACGGGATACAGTGACAACCTCTAAGGGGTTGTTAGATTTACAACCAAGGGTATTTTGGGTATGAAAAAAATATATTAATTATTTTTTTATATTAATTATATTGAGAATTAAAAATCCATATTAAATACAATTTTTTTAATTTAAATCCTATACATTAATATCTCTATCTATCTCTCTCTTTCTTTCTCCAGCGACCACTCCGCATCGACGGACATACTTTTTCTCCGACGAATTCTCTCTGGCAGACTCCCTCCGGCAACCTGAAAAAATGTACCAATGCGTTTAAAAGTGTATCAATCCATTAGTCTACTGGTAATTAATATACCAGTGTTAGTGGTACGCTACCAGTGCGTTAAAAAATGTACCAGTACTAGTGGTACGCTACCAGTACAGCGCTACCACTACCATATTGTATCATACCACTAGCACTGGTAGCGCTACCATTAGCATTGGTAGCGGTACCAGTAGAGAATA